CCCATGTTGAGGAGTCGACAGAAACCAGTCAAACAGATAAAGAATCCTCAAGGGTGAAGTTGATCGAGTTTAATCGCTACACAATGAATTTGATAAACACTTTTGGGGTATCCACTGAGATTTTCTAGGAGCAGACCAGCTTCATGCAATGGTGGAAGGAGACTAGGAGTATGAAAATATAATGGGTACTTCATATAATTCAGAATTCATTGATTTTATAAGGAATTGCAAACATCAACAATATGTTTAGTGTTGGTGTTGGGGCCCTTCTGATGAAACCTAACTAGTTAGTTAAACTTATGTAAATCTTGAATTCTACTACTGTGCCAATTGCCCTGCAATTGAATATTTTCCCAATTATATAGAAAAGGATTATATTTCTTTCATTTCTTGTCTCTTTACTTCTCTCTCTATATATATTTTTTGATTTAAATTTATATTAGCACATGTTATGCTGTTAAAGGAAACACTTGGACACATAATCCTGAACCATCAATGGCGTCTTCATTTCTCTCTATGTATTTTGGTTGATTCTAATTCATATATAAACGATTACTTATTATGTGAAGTCAACATTGGGGGGAGGCGGTGCTGTGTTTCGAGATTTTCGAGGTACTGTGCTTCAAGCAGTTGTTTTTGTCCGTTTTTTGCTTCTTCATCTTTGCAGGCGGAAGCTGTGGCTATCCTTTGTACTTTCGACAAGCTTTTCTTGTGTCTCGTTTGAATCGAATGCCAAAGTAGTTGTGAATGGGGTGTTGCGTGGAGAGTCTTGTCCAGCGGAAATTGCTGCTGTATGCTTTGATATTAATCGAGATCTTCGAAGATTTTCTTCTGCTACTTTGTCTCATGTCCGTCGCCGCAGTAATTGGGTAGCTCATGCTTTAGCTGCTATTTCATGTCCTGGACTTCGATCGGATCAATTTTTGTCTTCTCTGCCTCATTCCATTGTGCCTTTTGCTATGGCGGATGTAGAGAGTTAGTTGTTTTGTGTTGTTTTGGTTTTTTCTGTCTTATATGTCTTTGCCAAGGAAAAAAAAAAACATTGTGTCAATGTGGAAATGTAAAATATTAGGTCTAAAAATATAAGCAGCAAATTAACTTTAATGCAGTGTTAAAACTTGAAACCACAGAGCTGTTAGAGCATTAAGGAAGCTCAAGTAAAGCACTACACAAAGAAAGAAGATGAAGAGAAAAGGACATTTAAATGACATCGAGGTTCCTCTTGATTTTTTTGCAAAACTATAAATTATTGTGTATAAATATTTTTGGGTTAATTTTATTAACATCCCTTGAGGTTTTGACAAATCTCACGTGAAGACACCTTCCAAGAATTATTATCTCTTGAACCCAAAATTACTTTTTCGTCTCTGACTTTACCCCCTCTTTTGTTTATTACATTTTAATTTAAATATCATAAAACTAAAATGACTGAATTTCTCTCATTTAGTACTTTAATACTCCAAAAACTCTTCCCCTCTCTCATAGTATTAGAATTCAATATTTCTCCTCTCCCTCAAACTTATGTGTGTGAATTATATATACATGTCATGTTTCTATTTTTCTCCATTTTTTATTTTATAGAATTTTTTTATTTTTTGAGGGTATTTTGGTCTTTTCACGTTTTTTGTGCTGGACACCGTGGGGTGTGCCGAGTGTGTCCGAGAGTTGGTTGGGACATTCCATTGAGTTTAGGATTCTTAGAAATGCACCGGTTGTCATTTCGGCATTTTTTCGTTTTTCGAGCCAAAAAGTCTCGTGTGGGACCCGCCACCGGCATTGTCGTGTACGGGAGTTTTGGTTGGGTCTATTTGTACTTTATTCATTTTTATTTATTGTGTCTTATGTGGTTATTGTATGGTTTGTGTGCATAGGTGTGTGTGTGTGGTGTGAAAAAAGAAAAGAAAAGTAAAAAAAAAAATAGGTTTTATTAGTGGTGAGTACCACCACTAATTCCATTAAGTGGCCAAGAGACCACATTTGGACTCATTTTTCCTCTCTCTCCCGTAAGTTCTCTCTTTCCCTTCTCTTTTTCTTTTTCTTTTCTTCTTAATTTTTCAAACTTCAATTACTCTTCAACCGGTGGGAATTTGTTAGTGCCGTTTACGACCGTTTACGACAAATTGAAGAGCTCGGCAAGATCTTCGTATTGATATAAACAATTTCATCTTTGGCTAACCATAGGTTTTTCAAATCTAGGGCTTAGGATTTGGGGATTTTCATCATTTTGAAGGTAGGGGTTCCTAACTCATACATTCTTTCTCCTTTGTGAATTTTTGTACTTGTTTCGCTGTCTAGCTTGATAAATTATGTTGATTTCCTTCAAATTGATCAATTTGTTGTAAATAAATATGTGACTATGTGTTTTAATTGTTATTATTTGAAATAACATACTTGTATGAGTTCAATTTCATGATTATATGTATGCTTACCATGCTAGACTTTATTAAATGAAAACATATTGTGTATGTAGAAATTCTTGTAAAGTTTGCTAGAGGATTAAGTTGAAGTAGTTGTAAAATGATACATTTTGGCACGAAGCATCCATGCACCTCATTGGGAAGAAATGGGAATGATGTTTTGAACGAAATGAAATAGGGCGTTTGGGAAAAGTTTTGAAAAGTTTTTATGAAAAACCCGGTCGCCTAGGGGTTACCGAAAGGCCGTGGTGTTAGTGAAGCTTAGAGGCGACTGGGGAGATATCATTAGTGTGGTTGAGTTACCTGAACCCCAAAAGATGCCATGGGGTTACCATGGGTCAAAGACAGTTAGCCAATCCTCTTCTCGTGTCGCCAGGGGGTCACCGTGGGACGGGTTTCACTAACGTTTTAGAAATGATGACGAATATGGTTTTGGAAAATGGTGAACGACATCGCTTGATATTGCATCCCATTCCACGTTATTTGTATTCATGATTTTGAATTGTTGGTGTTACTATGTGATTATATTATTCCCGGACGTAGCATGATCCCATTGCTATTTTCTATTCATTTTTTTATTGACGGGGTCTCAAGAGGTGTGTCTTAGGCACCTCCTACTGAGCAATTTGCTCACCCCTTTATTATTAACATTTTTCAGGTTACGAGAAGGAGGTAACGGATGACAATCCACCACAAGTTTGAAGGGGCTAGAAGTTCATTTTTGTTATCTTTTGTATTTTGAGGCCATTCTTTGTAAAGCAATATCTTGAAAATGTATTAAGTTTATTTATCATGGCTATGTAATGTAATTATAAACCTTATATATCATTTTGATGTAAATTTGGCTGATTGTGAAAACTATGTTGTCATCTATGAAATGAATGGGGAACGATGTTGTAACGTGTTATATTGTTGATGTTTTCAATCATTGGATGTAGTATATTATTTTGCTGGGTATCAGAACAGGTCTAGACTAGTTTTCAAAGTTCCTTGCAAGACCTTTGTTCAGTTTCAGGTTCATAGCAGTTCAACTACAGATTTCCAGCTCACAGAGCCATTTCGGTCAACCGAAATGGGTACTTCGGTCGACCGATTCTTTCACTAGCCTTGGGAATTTTTTTTTGGTTCACAACCGGCCAATTGAAATGGCCATTTCGATCAATCGGTACAGGGATCACCTCAGATGCCATTTCGGCCGACCGAAGCTCCATTTCGGTCGATCAAAATGAAGCTGTTTGTGCATCCTTATTCCATCTTTGGTTTTGAATTACCCCAAGTCTTGGATTGTTGTCTAGAACCTTCATAAAGCTTATTTAAGGCATGATGATAATGTGTTGACCCTAGACACGATAAAGTTTAACTTAGGTGATCTCGGGTTTGGGAAAGGACTCGGTTAACAGTTCGGACCCCCGGGTTCGAGTTGTTACAATATATATAGGCAGCGGTGTTCAACTACTCTCTGGTGAGTAAGAAGTAGTATACTCATTTCTAATTATTTCCTTGAAATCTAATCGTATAGAAGCTAGCTCACAAACCTGTCCTTTTTATATTTTAAGAAATTAATTTACACTTTTTTTATTACCATTATATATTATTAACGAGAAATGATAAAACTAGACATATTTTTAATGAAAACTAAACTAAAACCAATTTGACTACGTTCTTCTTCTATACCATTTGCCGTTCGTTCCCCAAAAAAAGAAGAAAAAAAAAAAAAAAAGACTTGTCCTTGTGTTCAACCACACGAGGCTAATTAAGAAATTCTCAAAGCTTAACAAATAAATCCATTCCATTTGTTTATACATAGAAGGAAATTGCAAAGCATAAAAATAAATAATTAAAAAATCCTTCCCATCCGTTCAACCATAGAGGGCAGTGGCCAGTTCAAACATAGAAGGCAGTGGAGTCTGAAAAAAAAATAAAAAAAATTCAGACGCATGGGCAATCTTCTTCTTCTTGTCAATCAAAACGAAGTAAAATTAATTAAATCATATTTGAGTGGTTAATTTACATTAACATTATCATTATTTCATTTCACTATCTACCAACTGCCCTGGGTCCTATGGCCGATTTATAATGTGGCTAATATTGTATCAACATATATATCAAATCAGGGAATTAGCAGGACAATGGTGTCATCCCCGTGTACTTCAGTAATATATTGGTGAACATGCTAAGACTTCTCAAGGGCATTTAAATGAATCAAAACCTTTTTTCCAAAACGAATTGAAGTGGCAACAACATCTTGTAAGGATAGATCAAGCACTTTGTTCTTCCACCATGATATGCCTAGTGCACATGACATCGGTAGAGCAGAGAGAAAGAAATCCTAACATCGCCTTCTTCTGTTGGTGGATGACGGCAGTGGCCGAGTGACCAGGGCAGGCCCTGGCCCAAGGCCACCAAGGCGGTCGCCTTGAGCCTCAAATTTTAGAGGGCCTCAAAATTTTGAGGCCCATGAGAATGGAAAACAATAATAAATTAAAGTTAGGACAAGTCTTGGTCGAATTGGGCCTCAAATTTTGAGGCCCATGGGGGATTGAAAAAAAAGAAAAGAAAGTAAAGTATTAAGTTAGGGCAAGTTTCAACGACACAATCTGCTTCGACACTCCGCAGGACGCAGCCTCCGCTGTCGCCTAGGGTGACAAGGTATGTTCATCCTCTTTCTCTCTTCTCTCTCCTTTTGCATGAATCGATCTTTTATATATGTTTCTTTCTTTCGTTCATCTCATCATTTGATTTGTTCTAACTTTGGACCTTTGGTTCGTTTGATTCGGGCCTTTACCTTTTTTCCAATAGTGAAAAGTAGCTTCCAAACTAGGGTTTTTTGTGTGTGTGTCACTGTGTGTGATGGCTATCAAAAGATGAATGAATATATTATGGTTCTCTTAGTATTTTAATAAATTTGTGCCTTTCTACATGTGTCTTTCATGGCGATCGAGTCCATAATCTATGGCAGGCACTTTTTTTTTTTTTCCCCCTTTCTAAATCCACTCCAATCTCACAACAGCAGCAATCTTACCCCTTTTCCTCATAAGTTTTTGCATTTTCACGTTCAATCGTACGAAAATTAAGGATCCCTTCTGGGTTGAGCCGTTGAGGTAATAATTAACTTTTTCGATCTCTAAATTATGCTCATACTTAAAACTGCCAAATTAAGGGTTTTTTATATTTTATTTTTATATGAAGATACATACCACCATTATTGATGTTATGCACAATACACATGCGCACAATTAAATTAGCTATAGAATTTGAAAACATCGTTTGCAAATTCCGCATTCTTATAAATTTTTTTGCGCGTGTGAAACTTAAGGGCCTCACATTTGAAAGTTTGCCTAGGGCCTTTCAAAATATTTGGAATCTCAGGGCCAGCCTTGCGAGTGACTGGTCGGGTCGTCGCCATTTGATTTTTGGGTTGTTGGTCGGGGCTTGGCCAATTATTTATTGGTCTCGCTTCAACGTCGTCGTATTGTCTCTATGCTGCCTAATCTCACCGTTGTGTGTTGCCGACGGGTTGGCCAGCGTGAGAGGTTCAGAGAGAAGAGATCAGTTAAAAAAAATTTAAAAAAAAAGCTAAAGTCAGTAACCAATAGATTGATGACACCTTTGCGTCATGCGCATCCTGGGAAGTTTCCCTATAATGAAAATTTTATTCCAATTTGACTTACTATTGCAACTCTCTCTTTATTTCAGTGTACGGCCAATCATGTTATTCTATACCAATATTATAAGCAAATGAAAGTCATTTTTCTAACTCATTTTTCTACTCATTTTTCTTTATTCTCAACCTGTCTATGAGATGAGTTCTCAAAGCAGATCCAACCAAGCAGAGAAGATGAATCAATCCTTGTATGTAACAATCTCATATTCTCTTCTATTTTGTTTTATAACTAAGCTATGTAGATGTATTAACCATGTAAAGTCAAAAATAAAAACAGACCATATATTATCATATCTAACTTCAATTTTTTCACTTTTCGGTTGCAGGTTTAGCAGTGGAATAGATTTGGCAAATTTGGTGACCTCAGACCTCCTTCAACAATCATGGGTTAAAATTTTGGACCTTAACAGGGACAACAATCGAAGTGATCCAAACTTCCATCTCTCTGTTATATACAGAGTTTATACACATCCAGTCAATGGTACTATTGTGGCTTTTGCCTCTTCGCCCACTTGTACTGTACAACATCTTGAAGGAGAAGCCAGAGAACTAATTTCATCTGAAACTCTTAGAAGTGAGAATTTTCCTTGCTTTGAATTTCTCAGCACCAAAAGAAACCAAGCCTTCTCCGTTCACAAAGCTGCAATTTTCCTTTTTCGATCTTGCTGTGATGTGCTCTTTGACCTGAAAAAACAGCTGGTAACACTTCTCAACTTCTATTTGTTATGTTAGTTATGGCAGTTGTAATTATTTTACAATTTGAGAAAGATTATACCATGAAATGTTGTAATTTGGGTCAAACTGAAATAAAAACCCAATTTCTGGTTATCCATACAAGTCCCCACTTGGCAGTTTACATGACAAAAGGCCACCAGTACAGTAAATAGCTTCCAAGGTTTCACTGAAATGAATGCATAATCAATTACCCATTGGATGCTTTTATCAAATTCTACAAAACTATGCTGTAGATCTTGCATGTGTGTGTGTGTGTTTGTGTGTGTCATTCTGATCACAGGTATGACACAAATGAATGCATAATCAATTACCCTCTGGATGCTTTCATCAAATTCTACAAAACTATGCTGTAGAATAGATGTTTGCAGCTCATTGCAGTTCTTGCATAAACAATATTGTGTGTGTGTGTTGGGGGAGGCTGATCTTCTGATCATAGGTATGATTATTTTAGTATCAAGATTAACACTATATATCATTTCTTTGGATATATTCAAGGAATGTTAGTTTCATGATAAGCTATCCAAACCCCAACTGATATTGGGATTCATTGTAGTCTCATTCATAGTCAACATTGGTGAAACTTGTATTACACTATTACAAAGCGAATTATGACAATTAGGCACTTTTGCATTGAAATATTTGCAGCCCAATAGTTATCACCAGAAAATGAAATCATTTTTCATTTATCCAAGAAGCATTTATTTCCCTCAGGTTTTTTTAAGCTCTACCGATATTAAAAAAAAAAAAAAAAAAGGGTAATTTCTACTGATATTCAAATTGTAATTGATAGAACCTCGAAAATTAGGAATGCCAAATACTAATGTTTGCATCTTTTAAGCAGCTTGACATTGCCACTCCTATAATTATCACTGGACACTCTATAGGGGGATCCATTGCCTCCCTCTTCACCTTATTTCTGCTTGAAAGCATTCCCCCGAAGGCCAGCAGACGCCACCCCCTTTGCATCACTTTTGGCTCAACCCTTATTGGTGACTATGGCTTCCAACAAGCTATACTTGAACGCCCAACTTGGACTTCTTGTTTTCTGCATGTAGCCTCCAACTGTGATCCGATCCCCAAACTTTTCGTCTCAACTTCCCAAAATGGAATTTACCAGCCATTTGGTACATATCTCTTGTGTTCTGAATCCGGCTGTGCCTGTTTTGAGGAACCTGAAACAGTTTTGGAATTGCTAGTGGCAATGAGATCGGATAGCGTTGGAAATCAAGATCCCAACAACTATACATCGATTTTGGAATGCCTCCAGTGGAAGGCAATTTGTAAGGGGTGTTCAGGGATGACTTGCCCGCTTAGTACTCTTCAGGGAGGAATTATCACACAACTAGATGCCATTGGAATTAAGAACTCACAGGTAATTCGATCCTATTTCTATGTGATTCACTCTCTTAAGATATCATCAAAATAATGGCATTCTCTCATATTGAAGCAGAATTTGTAATGTTTAAACTTGTGTCCTTTTTGATATCTCTAATTTGTTCCTCACCTCAATTTTCCAAATCATAGCTGCAGCATGCTCTCATAACAAAAATTGAAGAAAGAACAAAGAATCCTATATTTCAGAACAGGTCTGCTTTTGATCCCAACAAAAAACTAAGTGACAGAAAGATAGACATGGCCTACCTTGAATGGTACAAGAAGATCAACACGGGTAATAGAGGCTACTACGATAGTTACAAGAACGCGTTGGCCAAGGGTACTGTTGTCATGTACCATAGGAGACTCACCAATTACTGGAAGACTATGGTTGAAGAGGCAGATAAGTTGCCCCAGAAGGAGGAAACATTTTTCCGTACTCGCTGGCTCTATGCTGGAACATCCTATAGAAGGATGGTTGAACCACTTGACATAGCTGATTACTACAGGAGAGGTAAACGGGACTACATAACTCAAGGAAGATCCAAACATTATGTCGTCTTGGAGAAGTGGCTGAATGATGCCCCTCGATATGCAAGTAAGAGAACTGCAGCTGGCAGTCTTACCGATGATTCTTGCTTTTGGGCACATGTGGAGGAGGCTATTCTTTCATGCAAATTGTTGCAGTCTGGAGAAGCCAGTCAGGCAGATAAAGAATCCTCAAGGGTGAAATTGATTGAATTTGATTGCTATGCGATGAATTTGATAAACAATTTTGGGGTATCCACCGAGGTTTTCTTAGAGCAGAGCAGCTTCATGCGATGGTGGAGGGAATATGACATGATAATGGGAACTTCATATAATTCAGAACTGGTTGATTTCATAAGGGGCGGTAAGCATCAACAATATGCTTAGTGTTTGGGGCTCTTCTAATGCATAAACCTAACTAGTTAAGCTTGTATGAATCTTGTATTTGTACTACATGTTTATGGACTTGGCTTTGGCAATTGCTCTGTACTTGATTGTATTCCCACTTAAAAAAAAAAAAAAAAGGATTAGATTTTTATTTTCTTGTGCCCCTAATTCTCTATTCACCTTTCTTTATCAATTTGAATTTATATTACATGCTATGCTGGTAAATTAAACATTTCGACGCATAATTTTGTTTAATCAATAACATGTTCACTGACATTACAAGAATCAGATTTTAAATGTTTGGACTATCAAATTGGTGACTTAAAGAAAATGATTCTTGCACTGATTTGCTGCAATGAATTGTCAGATTTATTTTTTTATATAAGTCCATGTATGCACCAAATAAAGAAATAGAACATTCCACTTATTTGTACTTCGATTAGATAATTCATTATAATAAATCGATATAAGTATCACTATTCAAAATTGCATGTGATTATCAAAACTTAGGGTTTGTACTTTCCAATTCTAAGATCTAATTGGGAATTGTTTTATAAATTTTATTTGGTGAAGTTTAATCCAATTAATTGTCATATTAACATTCTTTCTTTTAAAAAATTACTCCTATCATTAATTTCAACGTGTGGTCCACAAAACTCCTATTATTTGAAGAAATTGGACCAATCCTGAACCTTCTCTAGTGCACTAGACCATCCAAAAATATGAAATGATGATGAAAAGTATAGATTGAAGAAATCTGATTTTCTACTTAAACTTCAAGATTAAATCTGAGGTTGTGCCCTTCTTCTTCTTCTTCTTCTGTTTTTTTTTTTTTTTGTTTTTTTTTTTTTTTGTTTCAACCTTATTAAAAAAATAATTTTTTTTCAAAGCCTTTTCTTCTATTTTATTATTATTATTATTATTATTATTATTATTATTATTATTTATCTAAAAAAAATAAATTGACTGGTCCTTGAATGATTACACACTTTATCACAAACATTATCTGTAACGGTTATATGGTAAAAAATAAAAAATAAACTTTAAAATATAACCATTAAAATATAGTCGTTGATATATATATATATATATATATATATATATATATATTAAAAATATATTATTTTTAGCGAGCGAAAATTCAAAGAACTTTTGAAAATGCGTAACTAATTTAGAAAGGCTATTGGTCAAAAAAAAGAAAAAAAAACGACGAGTCTTATTTACAAAAACCAAAAAAAAAAAAAACAGAGAGATAAAATAAAAAGAGTATCAACATTAATTTCAATGTAGAATAAAGCTCCTAATCAAGCAAAGGAGTTTTGGGGACATTTAAGGTTTCCAAGTAGCTGCTCTTGGCTTTGGAGGAAGCTGCTTCAAGTTAGAGACAATAATGGGAAAGCTACAATGCCACCTAATCCTACATTTGGATGCAACTTCAACAAGTACACTAATGCTATTCCAGCTCCCCGAGATCACTAGGACGTCGTCATTAACCGAAGGAAACCTTCACCACATAAAAAAATTCTCCATCAAACACGCTATGTAACCAATATTTTGTATTCTGGTTTCGTTTAGTTTCTCAATAATCTAATCCTGACCATTCACCATCCACGACCAATAACTAAAGACTTGTTCCTATTTCATTCTAGCTAAGCAAGTTTCCCAATTTGTCGATTGCATCATCGTCAATTTGAAACTCACGAACTGTTCAAAACAATTACATATATATATATATATATATATTTGAAACTCAAGCACCTGAAAGTCTTATGTTGAAAAATGTTGTGAACAAGGACCTTAAGTTTGGGGGACTTAAAAACCGTGACAAAGAAAATATAGCCCTTAAATTTTGCAGTCCAAGCATGGTATTTTCAGATAGATTAGAAGTACATAACGTACACCATTAAAGATTTTAAAGTTAATAGATTAAATTGTCACCAAGATTCCTTTGCAGTAAAAAATTGATATTCAAATAAAAGTAGGAATCAATCAAATATATGTTCTAAGAGAAACTATGGTCTACCTTATTTCTTTGAGGGTACAACTGAAAGAAAAAAAAAAAAAAAGTAGGAGAGAGAGAGAGAGAGAGAGAGAGATGGCCAAATTTCAAAGATTTCTTTTGTATTTCTTTCGGAAATTGTTTAATGTTTCATGAATACTGTTCTAAGAGAACAAAACTAAAGAAGTCCTACTAAGTATGGACGTTAGGCCTGGTTCTGGGATGAATCAGGACCAAATCAAACCGCAACTGTTGATCATTGGCTCAGTTCCAAAGAAGGCCTTAGACAAATAAGTCAGTAACATGGCTTTCTAGGTGATACTCACAACCCCCCACCCCCACAGAATTTTTTTGCACTCAAGAGGAGTCGAACCTTAAACCTGATGTTGCTCGATTTGTTTGGTGGGAAGTTTTAGTTTTAACCAATGATTGATGTTGTTTAGTGTTTGCTGTAGGTGTGTTGGTTGTTGCTAGCTTGTATGTCTCTTTTCAAGGCTATGCCCTTATGTGCTTCATGTATATTATTGTTAATATTTATAAAAAAAATTACACTTATCCAAGAAAAAAACTCAGGCACCCGAAAAGTTTTATGTTGAAACATGTTGTGAACAAGGACGTTGAAGTTGGGTGGCTTTGACACCGTGACAGAGAAAATATAGTCCTTAAATTTTCCTGTCCAGGCATGGTATTTTCAGATAGGTTAGAAATACATAACCTACACCATTAAAGATTTTAAAGTTCACAGATTAAATTGTCACCAAGCTTCCAAAGGTCTGGTAACAACTTTATCTTTTGCAGTAAAAAATTGATAATCAAATAAAAGTAGGAATCAACCAAATACATGTTCTAGCAGAAACTATGGTCCACTTACCTTATTCTTTTGAGGCTACTACTGAACAATAGAAAACAAGTCCAAAGTTCATTTGGTGCACAGTTTTTTTCAAAGATTTATTTTGTATTTCTTTCGGAAATTGTTTAATGTTCAAGAATATTGTTCTAAGAGAACAAAACTAAAGAACTCCAACCTAAGGATGCACATTAGGTCTGGTTTCTGGGACGAATCAGGACCAAATCAAACCGTTCAACCGAACTGTTGATCATTGTCTCGGTTCCAAAGTAGAAGAAGGTCTTAGACAAATAAGTCAGCAGCATGGCTCAATTTGATGTACATTGAAAAAAAATATATTAGTTTCTAAAGCACACAACAATTACTAGAAAAGGAAAAAAAAAAAAAAAAATTAGCATAACAACAAAGCCAAAAAGATGAGATAATAGCATTTTTGCCGAAGTAGAGTAGAAAATGTAATATGAATCTGTAAAATTCCATTATGAGTGATGAAAACGTACTTAATTCATCTAGGGAGTGTCAGAGCAATTCGCCCACATACATATCATCCTAAACTGTTTGACTCTTTCACATGCATTTTCATGAAGGGTGAAATGAAACTATCTACACAGATGGCTGCATGAAAATTATCTTCAACATCGGCCGGTATGACAAGAGGATCCCTATTTGTTCTGTTGTGTAAAACCAACTTAGTGTAGTCCATCAACGCTTCATTCCTCACCAAAGCCAACATATCTGAAACTATTGGGACCTTAATATCAATTCTAGTCCAAGACTGCTCCACCCCATATTCCTTCATAACCCACAATGCACCATCACAACATGGTGGTGGTAAACAAAGGCATCCTTCAAACACCCCTAATTGGCGTGCCTTCCGAAAATCGACAGTACCAGTACTAGGCAAGGGAATCTTCCGCACTTTCTCATCCACCAAACTAAAAGCAGCAATCTCAAATGTCTCTATTAACTCTAAATCAATAGGGTTTTTAATACGAAGCCAATGAATGGCACCATTCAGCTAAGTCCCACGAGGGAGAACACGAAAATCCAAATTAGGGAAATATTTAACTTTTCTCCAAGAACCCATCCTCATTGAATATACAGAGATTCTATTGCGGCGTCGGTACATGAATGGAGGGTCATCATGGCATATATTCACGAGTTTGTAGTCATCATGGAAATGGTCATAGCCAAATCCAACTATGCATACCACACGCACTTGAATCGCAATTTATTGAGGTGGATTTTGATGAAGTCGGGGTCGGAGATCAAAGAACGCCATGGTTTCGACACGCACTTGAATCGCAAGAGAGATTTGACGGGCAGTTTTGAGAGTATTTCGACAAGAAGATGTTGGGGAAGGTCAGGCAAAGGGATGGCTGCTTCTAGTTCTTCGTCGCTTGGCTTCATAATCTTTGCCCTCTTCATCGCCGCGAAATTGCAGAAACCCTAGGATACACTGAACACAACAAGTAACTAAATTGATAATGGTAGTCATCAACGACTATTCCTAATTGTAAAGTGGGCTAGGCCTGCTCTAGGTTTCTGGGCCTCTCTTATCCCAGTAATCTTGTTCGTTTGTGTATTGTGGTCCTTGGGCCATGCTTTTCTTTTGTTTAGGCTACTCTGGGTCTTTGTAATGACTTATATTTTTTTATATGCTCGGACAACAATGAGTAAAATAAATATTCGAACCAATCAATAGTTAACATGTAAGTACAAATTTGAATAAAATTAATTAGCCGAGATCAAATGATTTCGGACCCTATAATATTTTCTGAAGCAATGACACCCTCGTATTATTTAATATAATAGGATTATAGGAACAAATTCCTTCTTGTTTAATCCTCATGAATCTGGACAATAGACAAAAATTCAACTACATGTGTTTTATTTTGGGATTTGTACGGGGACTCGCTTATGTAGTTTATTTAACTATTTTTATTGTTTATTTGTACCAGGAGTACCAGTTGTTGCTCTCTATGTAGTTTTTACAGATGGCTCTGTAATTAAGGATCTCATTTGATACTCGTAAACTCAGTATTTGTAATTTACTTTACAACCTTGTGCTTCGAAGGTCACCAGATCGGAAGTATCGAGGATAAGTGTTATAAGGGGAAGCTTATCTCAGATCGAATCCGGATAAAAAAATATTAGGTATAAATGAGTGGATATAAAGTACTATTCAATAATTTAAACTTTTGAATAAATGGACAAGCGTCTACCCATTTCAATAAGACTGGTCAATGTGTACCATGCTAAATTATTAGCTTACAATAATGTGAGAATTAATTAATATATTTGA